CTACTCACCTGAATTAAAGGAGAAAATGACATATCTTGATGCAACTTTAGGGGTAAGAGTTCATCTGTAAAGACCTTCAGGCTGTTTTTCAGTAGCGACGGAGTGGTATTCGGACTCCCGATTTAATGAAAATTCTTGAAAATCCGACGCGTGAGCGGAATCATAAGCTTTACGGAAGTGGAAAGGAAAGAATCAATACGGTTCCATTTTCTTCCGGTTTTGCTCATGACTCAGACGCCAATGAACTTGTCTTAAGTATGTAATGAGTTGAATGGCGCACAATTTAGTTTTCACAGATCACAAGCGACGGAGTGTACTCTGCTTCCGGATTCCATTGGTTTGATTTTCATCGGATCGTATTGCTCTGCGCTTCCGATAACGGCTGCCACTCCAACTCAGACGTTAATGGAGAGCAGCTTTCGATGTTTTCTAACGGTTTTCTCTCTGCGTCCAATAAATTCCCGTTCATTTTTTTTTGCGGTGCGCTACGCGGCGTCTTCTTGATGACGTAACTCGCTATTCGCTATTCCCTTTGTATTGACCGTTACTTAACCGCATACAACAAATCAAATCAGAGCTCAAAGTCCTTCTCCATTTACCTAAATTTCCTTTTTTCTCAGGGCAGTTCAATATCTCTGTTGTTTACTATTATCATTTTTGGTCTGTGTTTGCTTTTTCTTAGCCAAAAGCTGGTCAAATGCATTACGAAAGCCTTTGCATGAAAGCGGTAAATCAGTCAATAGGTGAGGCAAAACTTTATTATCTGTTAACAAACCTGAGCTTTGCCTTGTTACAATGAAACGCAAAAAAAATTCATCAAGAGTCCGTCCGACGTATCTGAGAATGTATCTTTTTTCAAAATCCGTCTTTAGGTCGCGCTATTCGTCACAAACGAGACTATGCGACAATCCTGTTACTTGATCAGCGGTATGGTTCTACAAGAATACAGAAAAGTCTTCCAGGCTGGATTTCAAACCGACTTCAGCACCAGCCTCGCTTTGGTTCTGCATTTGCCGCCATTCGCAAGGTAAGCTATTGATCCGTGGGTGAAAGGTGAGTGTATCTTGTTACCAGTCTCTAATGAAAGTTCCAACCTCGTTCTGAAGATCGTTCGTTTTCCCAGCTGTGTCAATGCGTATGGCTGAGGATTTCTCCAAGAATGACCCTAAGATAAATTGGAAATAGAAGCTTTCAATCTCAATTGCCCAATAAGGTCATAATTTGATTCCAGAGAACCTTTTTTGTGTAGCTTTTACTTGTTAAAACAAATCCTCATGTGTTGGTACATCCTAAGTAAGCGACAAGGTTGCTAAGCGAGATTCAAAATGGCGGGGCCCCTAGTCGAATTTTTACCACCTTTTAAGACAAGCTGCTAAGGGTCAGGGTAGTCTATGGAATCTCAAAGCGCCGTCAGTATTCTAATTTCGATGTAATTCACCGTAACACTTTTTAAAGGTGAGACAGGAATGATGTGGTTTCTGTAGCTCACATCCCTTTGAAAAGGGGCACGACGCGGCAATCAGCTTGAAGTTGAATGCCGGTTCAATAATGAACCGAGAAAAGGACGGTGAAACGTTGAGGATGATCTCGATGTATCGCGAGAGGGGAATTGAAAGATTTAAGCCACAAACTTTGCAGCTGGTAGTTATTTAATTCAGCAGCTCTGTTTACTCCTTTTCGCTTCTTTCAGTTTTTCGTGGATAAGCGACAAGCGGATGAGACCATAAATCACGAAGCACAATGAATGCTTGGTTGGAACAGATGACCTCGTGAAACCTGAAATGACCCGATTAGCCACAAAAATCAAAGCGAAAAAAAACACATGCTCTTTTCATAGATTGCTTCAATGAAGTGTGTGGTTTCAAGATTATTTATTTATGTATTTGACGAATAAATCAAGATAAATATTTTCATAAGAACAGGGACATTGAAAACCCTTGGTTGAGTTTGCTGTGTTCGAAGAAATTTCGGTCTATATTGTCAGAGCCGTCACATTGGGTTTTATAGGAAAAATATCCTAAATAAAGAGTTTACATCAGAAGGAAAGCATTCCAGATGGTCCTTACCTACAGTACCTTCCTTGAAAACGTCTGTGTACAACAAAACGAATCGTGATTTTTGAACCTTCAAGGCCTCTTTTTGTTTCATTATTAAGTTGGTTTTGTGTTCTTAGCTAATTAGAAAGCGTTACGGGTCCGTCTCCTTGACTAACTGCCATTCGCCCAGTTTGCTTGTTTATACTTTCGATTCTCTGTTGCTGCAGAGCACTTTCCGATTGAGTGTCGTGTAACCAAAACCAACGTGATTACTATGGTTAATCAGAAGAAGGGAAAATTACCTTAAAAAAAGAGCCAATTAGAACTTAAAGGAAAAACAAGCAAACCGCCTAAAGCGCGGGAAAACGCGGGCGACCAAGTCGTGATCAGTGTTAGTTTTGCATATGATTGGTTGAGAGAGTAGCGCGAGTTTTCTGGACCGATCGCAGAGAAAAGTAAAGCAAAACCAATGCATTCCTAGAATTCTCTCGACACTCAATTGAAAATTTCTCTAGGTTCTGATTTGGTATTTTGGCTTTGTTTGCCATACTAGATCAAAATGTGTTACTAACATATTTACTCTTGAAATCGTGGAGAGTCGTGAGTAATTTGTAAATTTCACAAACTGTCGTTGGAGATCTGCGAGAAGAGAACTGGTGTTCCTTGGCAACTGTTATCACGACAGGATTTTGATCCTGAGTAGGATGGAAACGGAGACATTTGAAGTGGGGTCAATGATTTCCTTAACAACTTGGAGTGACTACAAATGGTGTAAGGTGTTGAATGGAAACTGGTAGCCACCGAATCCGTGTCAAACTCGTTTCCAGTATAAGCTTGCCCATGGTTTGGCAGGGAGGCAGCCTCGGTTCCTTGAGCCGAACTTAGACACGAGGCTCCTTGGCCAGTGCGACGCAAAGGTGAAGAAGCAGGTGAGATAAAAGAACTGTCAGAACTTGAGAACAGAGACATGGAATTCAGCTCGTGTATACTGCATGAGTCAGTGCAATCCTTGAAACTTCCTTCGGATGAAAACGAGTGAGGCGCAATGTTGTGGTGCGCGCACCGAGAATGGAATTTGACGTTTTGCCGTCTTGGTCTAGTGAAAAGATCTGGGGTTCCAGATACACGCTCTGAGGAACAGAGCGACTGAGTAAATAAATTAGGAGTCATAGATGCGGAGGAAAAAATGTCACAACTATCATTTAACACCGACATATCACTGTAACTACAATGCTCAATAGATGTACACTTTTCGTCGTTGGTTTGGTTGGCTCTTGAGTCGCCCACGGCATTACAGTCGTGTGCTTTATTCTTATAATGAAACCTTGTGAGTGTGGTGCAATTGATGTCATATTCACCAATTTCTTCAGCGTTGGTTCGGTTTTCATCTCGTGCACCGTACGGGATTAAACTTTTAGGCAAAAGACAAACAGCTTTGCTTTCAACTCTGATGCTCTCAGTATTGTTATCTCCCGTCACCTCGGCGAAAACAGTCTCACAGTCTCGCAAAAATTGCGAATCAGAGCCTTCAGAGTTGTAAGTGATGTCATTCCAGGGCGAATAATTCGCCCTAGACGATACTATAGCATCTCTTTGCGCGGTAGATACCATGGTTATATTCGGTGTTAAAGGTTTCCGTATCAGCATACTTCCGTGGTCGAGCTCCATATCAGCCAAAAATACTTCCAAATCCTCAGAGGAAGGGAAATCAGTGAATTCTGTGTAATCTCTTGTGCGTGAAGAGTCAGGCAAGTAACACTCATTTACAACTTCTCTAAACGTTGCACCTGGATACAAGGATTGTAGAGGACTTTCGGGTTTCCCGGAGTTGAGGGCCTGCAGTGGCTGTCTATCGTCTCCATTGAAGGCGTCCTTTTCCAAATCGGCTAAAAATGCGCTCAGATCCTCCGATGACGGAAAGTCATCATATTCCTGCCATGTCACCGAAAGATGGAGATCAGTTAAGTCTTCATCACCGTTTGAGTTGAGTTTTAATGATTGCACAATTCCTGGTGTAAATGGCTGTATCTGATCAGAAGTGTGCGGCCTTTTTTCGTTGCTGTTGTTGTTTGCAGTTAAAGATGAACCAATTTTTCCTGAAAACGGTGAGAGGAAAATAATTTTTTTGCCATCGTCAAAATGAAAGATTCATGTGGACGACGAGTTTGTCGTTAACGGGTCACCGTCATTGGACTAACATCATCAGTATGCATATTCTCCATACTGTTCTCTATACATTCCTAAGGTGCTAACTAGGAGAATTTGGTTAATTTTTAAGAGCTTCTCTGGTAAGTAATCATTTCCTTTAATCTTAGTGTTAATTTCCCTTGACCTTAATATTTGATTCAGGGGTGATATTGTAAGGAGATATTAAATGTTATAGTACTCATTTGTAGACTCTTTACCTAACAGGGGTCGCTGTAATTTCCTTCTCTCCTTGCTGTTGGTTGCAAGCTCACGGTCATGTGTTGGAGCACTGACAGAGGGAGATTGAGAGAGGCCTGTGAGAACCAGAGGTGTGTTCATGGAGCCAAACTCATGTGGTGAGCAGTAAATAGATGACGCTCTTTTGTGGGATGAAGAGCACCTTGGAACTTTGCAACTTGCCTGAGAGTCCAGCAATAGAGATTGCTGAGAGGTTATTGGACTTAATGAGTATGGGGTGTGGGTAATTCTTTGTAACTCATCTAAATACTCATTCAATATTTGCATCACTGTAGGACTCTGCTCTGACAAGGGTAACACCTGACAGGCTAAAAGGCTAGGAAGTTCCCCTGCTTGGTGTCTGGTATTGTCTGATTTTGGTATCCTACCAACAACGTTCTTAAGTTGAACTGGAGAGCTGCGAGATATTTGTGAGCCTGTCTGGCAGAGTGGATAGACCCTGAAGCCAAAGTGCAATAGAGACCCCACAAAGCATTGTTCCATGGCTTGGTACACAACACGACTCCATGGGATGGTAGAGGGTACAGCAGATAAACTGGTCACCAGCCTGAAATAGAGAAAAACACTTTCATAAGCAAGGACTAAAGAATATAACTATGAGCCTATTTTACTACCTGAATAACAGGAATAGTCCTGTAATAAAGTAGTTAAGAGATCGTAAAAAGTAAATCTCCTGAACTTTCAAGCTTACACACCCACAAATACATTAGCTCTTTAACCCTTTGGAGTGACAAGCATCTAATTTCTCCTTTCAATAGAATGAAGGAAGTGATCACTAAATAAAGAAACTCTTGATTGGTACACAAATTCTTCTCTTCTTCACCTTAAGAAATGTATACAGAACATTAAGCATACTGATGTTAGGGTAACAATGAAACTTGAAAACAGGAACCATTTGGAGTTAATTTGTAGGGCTGAGCAGGGCAGGCAAGTCATGATGATCTACTAGAGAACTTGGTGTCAATTTTGGTCTCTTTTGGTGCTATATTCAAGTAGCACAGTAACAAGATCTATATATTTCAACTGGGTTGCACCAGTTGTCCAAAGGTGAACCCATGATGATTGGAGTTTGCAAATCATTTAAATACCAATCAATCAGAACTAGGAATTCATGATTTGCATAACTGACCCCCCAGAACTTGAAGATAAAATGCATTACAAAGTTTACAGCCAAACCTCATGAAGCTTGTCGCAGACGTCCCAAAAAACCTGTCCAGACAGCTTCCAAAAACTGTGACCTGCACCAGCTGTGTTCTGTCTGATGCCATCACACTAATCCTGTATCGATATTGAATGCTTTCTACACTGTACATCTCCCTGCATGCCTCACAACAGAATCTAAAAAGGAACAGTAAGCGACCATGATCGCATCAGGAGGGGGGGCTGGGGAGGGGAATTAATTAGTCTGAGGACAATGTTGTCACATGTTTAAAGTAGTTCATGCCAAAATAAGTATATTAGTTTATTTTTCATTCCAGGGAAAGAATTAAAAAGTGCTGGTGAACTTGGGAAAGGAGAAGAAATGGCCCTCTAGTATAAACGAGACTACCATAAATAGGGACAACATACCGTACCAGTTGGAAGGTGTATAATTTGAAGCACTACTCGTGTACGTACTGTTGTGCAATCTCATTTTACTTGAGGCGATCGTAGCTACGTATCTTACCGGTACTTTATGTAAAGATCGCAAGAAATAATTTTTAAAGCGTAATGCAGTACATCATAAGATCAAAAGGTAAAATTTCCGCACAGCCCCATACTATTGTAAAACAAATCTGTTTTCCCAATGGCAATCTACTGTTTTTGTCATTGTTTTCTCTATCCAAGAACTGAATGCATAATGTAGTACGGGGCTGTGCGGAAATTTTACCGATCAAAATAAGTAAAAAAAAAGTGTTCAGACGACAACAAACTCACATCATTTCATTCTCTCGAGTGTGGACTTTCTTACGACACCGAGTACAACAAGGATAGCAGAATTTGTCGCGTATGGAGAGGACATTTGCCAGGACAAACACACTTTGTGTTGCCATTAACACCACCACTGATATAACCTTCGAATTTCCATCGTAAACTTACTGTTTACCTCTTAATTCAAATTCAGAAAATCTAAAATGGCGCCCATTTACAATAATCCAATCAGAGCATACGTAGGTCCCAGTCCATAAAGATTCACCACGTCCAGATTATCCACCAGCCTCCACCGGCCTCCTTTGACGACGGAATCTCATACTCAAATTATTTTTCCAATAAATCAAATATATGTATATCCTTCGCTCAGAACTTTTTGGTTTGCCTCATCATCAGGTTTTGCATGAAACCATCAAGTTAAGATGTGGCTAGCAGACATTTGTTTGCAACACTAATCTAGAGAGGGCTGTCATTACGCTCAATTCAACCCTTTTCACTATCGGCATGCACATTCTCCGTACTGTTCTCGATACATTTCCTATGGTGCCACCATAGAGAATTTGCTTAAAAATCAAGCTCAGCCTTAAAGGTTGGCAAAAATGTGTGATTCATGGGTGATATTGTGAAACAAATTAGATGTCATAAATGCTATTGCTCTAAGGAGTCAAGTGTCATTGCTTTCACTACTGAATATGACCTGGAAGTTATTTCTCCTAAAAATTGTTTGTACTCCATCAGGCTGAGAAGGGATAAGAAGAAAGGAGAGAATCAAGTGATGGAAGTTTGTTTGATTTCTCACTAAATTCTCAGCACAAATATCATGAGAAGAGAATAGTAGACAGTAAAGAGAATTAAAATGTGAGAGCTCAGGAGCATAATGGTGAGACAAGCAGCCAATTATTTTTTGACAACTAAATGAAAAGAAAAAAGAGAGAATGTGGCAATTCGTCTTCATAGTAAATCATTACATTTATTAAGAAACTAAAACCACTTTTACATCATGTCTTTATTTCTGAAAAGATTTGCCAGGTCATGAGGTACCTATTGGAAATTATGAGAAAAACTTAACCTTTCATATTAACCCTTTTAACTCCCGTGAGTGACCAAGACAGAATTTCTTCTTACATTATCAATACAATATCAAGGAGACAAGTAATGAGAATCAAGAAAAATTTTATTTAGGAGATTATTAGTTGATCTAATACCAAATTCTCCAAACTAACATCAGAAGAACTATATTGCAGACAGTAAGGAGAGTTACTAATGAGATCTTGGGAAAGGGTTAAAAGGATCTAAAAATTGTTGACTTTAGAAAAAGATAATTAATTTTCAGTTAAATGACCTAAGAAGGTAATGTTCCACTCAGATTGCAAAAAAAGAAATATTTTACAGTTGTAATGTAGCTTCACTTGGAAAGATATTTAATAATCCTTTGCAGAAAATTGTCATTTATACAGAAAAATATAATTGAATACAAATGTTCCTCACCAACTAATTTTATACAATATATACATGATCTTTTCCCTTTAACAATTGATATATATTTGACTGAATCTGGTATGAAAACTTGTCTACTTGTTTTGTGTGACTATAATATCAATATTTCTATAAGTTATGGGGTTCATTTCACATAGAATCTTTTTGAAAATTATGAGTGATTTTTTTGGGAGAGGCGGTCATGATGCCCAATATACTTTTGTACTTAATATCATAAACAGAGAAGTTTAATTCTTCCCACTATGGTAAAATTTGCAAAATTGTAAATGTTGTTATTGAACTCTTTCCTAAATAACATAAAAGTCTTTCCTTTCTTGGGATGGTTTGGAATTTGTTGAGTTTTTTAATCCATGTTTTATGAATCATTAATGCTGTCAATATTTCTATACTCTACAACAAGAGAGGGGTCCCCGCGCACAAATTGAATGGCCTCCAAGGTTAACCCCAGTAGTGCCATTCTCGTCAGCAGTTGGATTGTCTTTTGTTTCGTTACCCTCCACATTTTTAACATTTCTCTTCAACTGTGTAGCTAAACTCATAAACAAGTTCTCTACATTGTCAGCTTCTTTGGCAGATGTTTCCATGGCAATACAGTTTTCTTGTTCTGCAATCATTTGCGCACTCCCAGAATCCACTTCTCTCTCTTGTGACAAATCTCTCTTGTTCCCTACCATATACATAAGCACTTTCTTGCTTGTAAATCTATGGACGTCATCAAGCCAATGTTGTTGTAAGTTGTCAAATGATTTTCGATTGGTGATATCATATGTTACAATGACTCCATCTGCATTGTGGTAGTAACTCTGCGTGACAGAACGGAAGCGTTCTTGGCCTGCAGTATCCCATACTTGCAGCTACAAATATAAAATAAGTAAATAAATGTATAACAGGAATGAAAATAACAAGAGACTAACCCTTTACGCCTTAATATCGGGAAGAATATTTTGTTGAATATACTGTTCTCTTTACAACTGACAATTAAGTGAATTTCTTTCACAATCAGGAGCTTTTTGAGTGGCTGATCAATTCCTGTATTCTGGTAATCTTTATGTTTGATCCAGTTAAGATAATGTATAGAGATATTAGATGTTAGTCACTCTAAGGAGTTAAAGGTCATGAAAAAAATTTTTCACCACAAGTTAACTTATTTGAAAAAAAAAAATTTAAATATTTCATTGTTAACTCTTTTAATTTGAGGCCTAAATAATGCACAGTCTCACAGGTTCAAGATTTATTCAGGCCTAAAAATTTCACATGCTTCTTAATCAGTAAGCCGGTGAATTATAGCTTGAGATCAGGACGTAAAGTTTTCTTTTTTGAGTAGTAACACCTTCTTTTTTGTTTCAGCTTTCTTTTTTACGCTTATGTTTTCCAACAACGAAGCGAGGACTTCCGATTTTGAAGGCTCATCACTTAATGGATAACATTCAGCTGGCAACTCATATAAAGTGAAACAGAATTATCTATCATATCTAACACCTAAATATCTAGGCGAAAATTAAAAATTTCACATGACATCGGCTAAAGCTGATGCAAATGAAACAGAAAGAGGGAAAAGTACCAAAACTAAAGGTAAATGGAAAACAAATGATTGTAATTGAATGTACGCGTTTCCGAGCGGAAGTCTCTCTATTACTGTATTCCCAAAACGAAATTTAGATTTAAATGAGCTAGGGTTTTATTCACGCAATCTACTTGGGAAAAAGTTTCAACTTATTTTCCACACTAACAATGTTGTGGTTTTACTGCGCATTTAATAATGGAAGTTAAATCTACGTTTTAAAAATGGGCATGATCACATCCTCGAACTTCAAGAACTCATTTGTATTTTGTAAATCAACAGAGGACGAATTTATTAGGAGGAAATGATCTGAGGAATTTTCGATTTCTAACACCCAGTCAACGAAATTACCAGCAAAAAGCAGTTGAAACGTAGGCGCAAATTGCATATTACAATTGATCAAACACGCACGTACTTTCCAAGAAAGACAGCTGTTTAAAATCTTCGAAAAAAGAAAAAAAAATTCATAGTATCGTTGAATAATGTTTTTCATTGAACGTCGCTTTCTTATCGGACGTCGAGGAAACGATTATCATCATTTAATTCATAAATATTGTGGTTTGAAAATGAAAAACAAAACCGATGCCGCTCACGAAAGCGGGCAATGTTAAATTTCACTCTTGAATCGAGCTTGTACTGGAAACAATTGAAAATACGAAAGAAACAAGTTTATACTTAGACACATGATTGAAAGTTGCCAAAATCATCATTTAATTTAGGAAAATATGTAGTGACGAAATGCAAAAAAAAAAAATTGCGAGCAGCTTTCGAAATCGAGTCTTTTTATGTTACAGCTTTGCTTCAGCAACACCGACAAACAAGTGTTATACCTTCACTTTTTCACCATCGACTTCTACGGTTCGTATCGTGAAATCCACGCCGATTGTAGGGCCCTGAGAAGGTGTAAAGAAACCTTTAGCAAATCTCTTCACCAAGCATGTTTTTCCGACGTTTGCATCTCCAATCAAGATGATTTTGAAAAGATAGCTGTAGTCATCCATTTCACGTGCGAAGTTTCTTGAGTTTAGATGGCTTTGATGTTTGAAATATTCAGATCGATCTACGTTCTAGTATATTCCGCCAGTTAAACGATAGTTGGTAGAGCACTGATGAATCGACAGGGAAAAACCAACGCATAAAAGTAAAATTTACTTCGATAAATTTAGCAGATTACATGCTTTACAATCACGCGCGAGAGTACTAGAAGCATTGTTTTCAATTGTTTTGATTGGACAAGCCCTACATGACGTCATAAAATAACAACTCCGTGTCTCTGGCGTCGACTTCCGGCACGTTCCTTTCAGTTTCGTTGAGTTCCGTTTCCGGTTTCGTTACTGAGAAAGTATTTCAATCGCAATTGGGAATTTTTTATTTGTTTATCGTGCTATTTTGGCCGCACGACTGAAAACTTCTCTATGGGAAACTGAAAACTAACCCCTGATTCTAATCAAAATATAACCACAAACATTTCCAATCTGAAACTAACGTCTCCTGTTTAACCGGAATATTTACACGATCTTAAAAGCAATACTTTTGCGCCCTTAAGGTCTTTCCGATTTTTGCGCTCGTGGTTAAAGAAGCATGTCACACTAAATACATCTCGGGGACTTAAGCGTAAAATCGCCATTCCTGATCTATATCAATCCTCTCCCGCCTTTAAGTCGACCTTGTTCCTTCTCAGACTATTGTTGCCTCGTGGGCGTTTTTATTTCTCCTCTAAGATTTTAATGTCTCGTTCACGTTGTTAAGTCTACCCAAGTTAAGGAAAAAAAATGACCTGCCTGGAGAGCGATGTTGCTTGCTTAGTACCTTAAATTCAGTAAGATACAAACAGAATCATTTTGAATAAAATAATTGTGGCTTGCACCCTATATACTGCATTCAGTTATCAAAACTCATCAGTTCCATTTTGAGGTGGAACGGCACTAAAGGATTGCTTGTAAGATCTTGCTTAGCATTTCTAGGGATTGAAGAATGAAAATTAAACAGATGAGATGAGAAACAAACTATACTCCCTAAAATCAGTTGACAGAAAGTGACCATTGGGACTGAAAATGCTGAGGGTGGGGTGATGGACGTGATGAGACAAAGAGGGGTTAATATGGCAACAAGGAGACATCAATCAAGTCAAGAGCATGGCAAATCATTTAATTAAAACAAATTTATAATTTCCTAAATAGCTATGATACATATGCAATGGATTTAATCTTTTAATTCAACTCTCATGGTTGCTCCTTTTGAAATTTCATTTATGAAATATGTAATTATTGACAATAATTTTTATTTGATCTTTGTTGATGATTATTTATACTTTTGAGCAGCACCAATAGTATAAAATCTACAATGTAAATATAACATAGCATTACCTGAGTTACTTCATATTAGGAAGTGATATATTACTTATAAAGATGAAGCTATTACTACCAACAAACAACAATTTGTTAACGCAAGGAGCACCTAACTTTTTCAAATCTCAAAATCTCTTTCATCAATTCTCTCTCCTGTCTGAAAATATTTCTTATAATGTCAGTACTGAGAATGCAGTGTTCAATCAAATTATGTCTCCTGCATGATATTTTCCTTTATTCTCCACAACTGACTTCTAGAAAATATATTGATTTTTTAGGGGGAAGTGAAATTACTAAATATCTCTAGGTTAATTTTACTATTAAAAGCATACAGTTTCAAGCATACAATTCTTACTTTTAGGGAAAAATCCAAAGACATATTGGAGATTATCTAATAAAACAATTAACATAATCTGTAAATCTCAACTGGAATGATAACTTGTTTTGAAATCTAATGTGAGAGTTATTTACAAGTTAATCAATTAAACTGTTTGTGCTATTGGTGTACTGAATACTAAATCACATCCTGCAGCTTATTTGTATATCATGCAATAGCACTATTCCTTTTATCTGTAAGCTAATGTTTTTGGTGGCCTAATTAAAAAAAGATGGAAGTTTGATTTCAAGATAAACACACAGTAGTAATAGAATTATGGCAAGTTCTTGTTTCAGTGTACTAATCAAAGAGAAATATTGGGCCAGTTATTTCAAAAAGGTTCAGCAGCCTGAACAACATTGAATTTTTATTCTTGAGTTAAAAAAAAGACATGGATTTTTGAGGAAAAAATTAAAGGAAGCTTAACAGTTATTGCTAAATAAAACATTTGAGTTCTTCAGTGACCCATAATATAGTCCCCTTCACCACACTTGAAATATTGAGATCCCATAATGGACTCAAACTGTAACCTATGAAAGCCTTTTTAATTAACTGGACCATGTGGTTTGACATAAATCATGCTCACACTGAACATTCAAATTATTAAACAGTCAATCACCAGTGAATGGTGATCTAGGTTCACTTGCCTGTGAATGCTTATTATTTCACATAGTCACAATGAGATAATTTTTACTCAGAAATCAAAGGCAAATCTTAAGATAGCCTTTAATTATAACCCCAGCTAACAAAAACAGACAACCCCACAACAATGTTACTGTGAATATGAACCCTGAATTTGGAACATTGAAAGGAAATATTTTTTCTGCTTGACACTTCATAGCACAAGTATTAAATTTTTACAACCTAAAACTATTGCAAACTTCAGAGCCTGAAAGCAAACTTAACTCAAAGTCTCAATTTACGTGGATTCACAACAATTTTTCCTGTGTTCTCCTGACTGATTCTTGAGTTTAATTCTCTTCTGTGAACCTCTGAATCTTCCTGATTTAGTTTTTGATTTGGTGCTTTGGCTATTGGAATCTTCACTTGTATAACGAAGTGGCCGATCCATAAAAGTTTTGGACTTAACGAGTTTGTGAGCAAGAGTTATAAAGATGGACTCAATTGTCTCCAGTTCTTCATCATTCTTGGTTGAAATTTCCCACATTGGCATATTGTGAAGATCAGCAAATTTTCTTGCTTCGTTTGAATTGATTGTTCTCTCATGAATAAGATCGCATTTGTTACCAATCATAAGTTTTGGAACTGAGCAGCCCTCACCATCAATTTCAGTGAGTCCATAATGATCATATTCCTGTAACCAGGTTTCTAAAGCCCTGAATGAGCCTTCCCTTGTGATGTCGTACATGAAAATAACAGCACTCACATTCCTGTAGTAATGAACAACCATGCTTTTACGAAATCTCTCTTGACCAGCAGTGTCCCATATTTGTAACTGCAACCAATCACATTAAAAGTTTAGTCATTTTAGTATGAAATGTATGTCCCAGAGAGTTGTTGATGATAAAAAATTATAGAAAAATTGCCATAAGAAGGTCATAAATGAGTGCTTGCAAGGCTGTAAAAAGCCAAAAAAGCTTGTGAACTGAGATGCAGGATGGATAAAATGTACATTTATCATTGACCAAGCATGAGGTCAAGATGACTGGATGATAAACAATTTATTATAAAGCAAAAAGATTTAAGAATCAAGAATGACTTGATTATTTTCAAGTGCTGGGAAAATGCCAGTTTTTTTTTAGCACAATAAACTCACAAAAATTGTTTATTTTTCCTTTGTTTAGATTGCCTTCTGCCATTTTATTTGACTCCATAGCCAAAATTGTCCAAAAGTAGGTGAGAGTAGCAACACAAGAGTAGAACACAAGATTTGCTTCATCTTGCCCATAGGTACTGACAGCCATATTCATGAAACAAAAGAAAATCTTGAATAAGATATAAAGTGGTAGTCATGATATGCTTATCGATGGAGTCAGTCTGAACCAAATTTCGAACCAACAGATACCTAGCAATTTCCTTCTGGAATATTGGCACAATCTGGGATGGTGAGGAGCAGTGAAATCTCCCCTGGCTAAGGATCATCCATGCACCTTTAATATAGCACAAATAATTCAAGCAGGCTGTCTATCCTTCCATCTGGGTGAATCTCAGTTCGAAAGGCACTTGATAACAATTATTGCTGTTGATGCAGCATATTTAATATTCTTCTGGTTGGTTTGGAATCTAAACAATTTATTATTAAAGTGGATTATTGAAAGCTACTCATCTCTAATGCTTTATAAGAATAATTGGTTGATCCATGTTGCAAGATCTATCCATTCACGTCTTATGAGTAATTGCACCAAGTGTATTGTTTCCTGTGTTAATGCATGCATGTATCCTGAAACTTTATCGAGAAACACCGAACAAGAGAGAAATCAAGACGCGACATTCCAAGTACACGAAATAGACGTGAATTGTGAGAGATTTTAAAAAGGAATTAATCCACAAGCACAAAGAACCGCAAGAAGACCTGCTGGAATAAGCATTTCAACTCACCCGAACGCTCGACCCGTTTATTGTAAGCGATCTCTCCCAGAAGTCAACCCCAATTGTCGCTTCTGTCCTTTCAGGAAATTTCCCCGTGGAAAATCGATGAGCGAGGCAAGTCTTTCCGACGCCACTGTCGCCGATTATTATGATCTTGAACACTTGTTCTTTAGCTGATACTTCACGTTCTGCATCTTCGTCTTCTTTGTCGTGAAACATAACGTAGTTGTGTTAATGATGAGGAAATAATTTCAGTTATAAATCTTGGATACAGGCGAGAAAAGACTAGGTGATCATAGGGATCTAACTTCACTGTGTCACGCACGAATTAGAGCATTCGTCGAGGAATTTCCTACCGGAAACAGAAATTCCTTCCATCAAAAATTAAAACAGTGGATTTTTCAATAAAATGTGAATGCCGGTAGGAGATGGAAAAGGAAAATAAACAAGCAACGGCGGTATTCGTGCCTACGTACTGTTTTCACAAGCCGATATTAATTCTGGAATTGTTGCCAAATTAAGCAGTGCCAAATATGGGGAAGCAGCCGCAGCTCGCGATTATTCGGGGCTCACAATGCGCTCAGAGCGGGATGCTTGAATGACACTATAAGAAAGTAATTTTGAATGGATTTTCAAAAGACCGAGTTGTTTCATCCTAGCCGGGGGAAATCGATCTCAAGCGATATTGTCCCTTTTTTTTTTTTTTTTTTTTTTTTAAAGATCTACACCACCAAGACCTAGCCCTTAATGTTCTCAAGTTCTAGGACTGAAGGTTAACTTAAGAAAAAAATGTTTCATATCAGGAGCCATTACTTATTGAACTCCTGATCATATACAGTCCTTCCTGAGACTTCACTAGCCTGCGAAGTCAGCGCTTTTGTGTGTGCTTTGGAGATTTGAGCGGTCTCAAACTCGTACTCGCAACTTGGGCGCTTAAATCATCGCCAGCCACTGGCTAGGATCGGAAGGTTTCTGATATCCAAGTGAACCTCCCTCGGTCTTACTACTTTTGTTGTAAAACGACCTGTGCGGCCCCGCGCGCGCACTCCCATTGAGAACCATAGTAAAAGCTGACGTGTGAAATGCCAGACGGGTTCACGTGAGCTGGTCCGGAAAAGCCGTCCGGCTCCACACTCACACCGCTCTTTTGCATTTCCCAAGAGCGTAAATTGAAATTAGATGAAGTATGAGTTTCTTGTTCTAACTCAGAGATAAAAGGGAAAAATTTTGATTGTAGAAAGTTTTTACTAATTGTCTAGAGTCTACCTTTCTTTGCATACAAGTAAGTCCTATTCGAGGTAAACAAATTTCCAAAAAATTTACAACTCTTGGTATTCATATCATGATAACATGGTCGGGACGGACGGGAAAATATTTGGCCCTCGGTCATGAAGCAGAAACCTCGTTGAGCTCGGTCACTACGTCATAACCTCTAGCCAAAAATTTCCTTGTCCGGCTCTCCCGCTCAGTCGTTGGGGACTTTAAGCAGTAAGGACGGCAACGCCAAGGAAAACTTCGATTAAAAAATGAATTTCTGCCTTTAATTAGAATTTAAAAAATGGCTACATGTGTCAACTTCAGCGGTTTCGGTTCGTAGACGACGCAAATTGTGGTGATTTCACGTTGTTGTTTTGCATAGGACGGCTAAGAAATGTACAAAATTTTAACGCGCGCGTGCTGAGCTATTGCTCTGCCAATTAGATCTTTTGTTTTTCCATGTCCTCGTTGCCGTCGCCATCGTGGTTTGCTTAAGGTCCTTAATGAGTACCCCATCTGTTATTACCGGTAGGAAGAAATATTCTGTTTACCTCTATCAAGATAATATAGTCAATATTCTCTTGTCTCTGTCCAGTTTTTGTGCTCGTGTAACCCATAAGTGGTCCATAATCCAATAGGTACTGTGATTAAAAAATTAACAATAATGAAATAATTTTTTAGTATTTTTCAGTTTATTTTTCATATTCATTTTAAAACGCGCGTGCTGAGCTATTGCTCTGCCAATTAGATCTTTTGTTTTTCCATGTCCTCGTTGCCGTCGCCATCGTAGTTTGCTAAAGGTCCCTAATGAGTACCCCATCTGTTATTGCCGGCTCGATCTGTTCACAGAAAATCTCCCGCGAAATTTCTTCGTAGCTAATATCAAAGCGCTCCTGAACTGTTTGTACTTCCAGGTATAAATGAGAGGATTTAAGCAGCTATTTGTATAACCCAGCCACAGAAAAATCAAACTCACTTTGGGGTTGATTTTTTCCTGTTTTAGGATGTCTAGGAACAATTTTACACAGAAAGGAGTCCAGCAAAAAAAGTACGCCCCGATTACGGTAAGGAAACTTTTTGCTGTTCGAATGTCGGATGCGTGGGAGCGATGTCCCCGAGTTTGTCTATTGTTTGAAGCAATAGGAGCGAAAATTTCGAAAGTTTTCCTTGGTGTTTCTATTCGAGAAGTCGACGAATATGAAATATCCTTCATTTGCAGTGGTTGAAATTTTTCACTTGACATGCAATTGGGAAAATTCTGAACGTTTATCCTCCGAACGTGTGAACGCGCGATTCCGAATATTTTCCAGTAGCAAACTGCCATTACAATCAGTGCGAAACAGTATGTTAGCCCTAACACTGCGATGGCGAAGACGAGAGATCCACTTGATCCAGACCAGTCTTTTTCAATATCGCAGTTATCCAGATTAGGGATGAAACAGAAATATGAACTTAGGCCGAATTTTGGCGGAAGGGCACAGAACATAGCATAAAGCCAGACAAGCAAAGACGCCGCCACGGCTTTTCTCGGGCTAACAAAAGATATGTATTTGAATGGTTTCGCAATCGCAAACCATCGGTCGAACGATAGTAGCTGCAAGTTCATGATGGAACAAATACAAAATAGAAAGTTTGCAAAGCCGATAAACTCCTTAAATTTGAATCCGAGTCGAAAGCCGCCACTCATTAAGGTGTCCAATGTCGTTGGGATTACAGTGAAGGCAACAAACAGATCGGCGAGCGCCAAGTTTACCACAAACCAGTTTGATTCCTTCCAACGAAGCTGCTTCGTGCGCGCAATAACTATCACAACCAAGAAGTTGCCGGTAGCCGCCAGGAAATTGACCACAAAAAGGGCAATGAAAGAAATGATTTTTTCTGAAGAAGACCAACTTGCGGTGAGAATTCCTGAGCGATTACAGGACATAACGGCGGCGAAGTTTTTTTCTCACTCTTTCGGAAAAACGCAACATACAATTAATTGTCCTGCTGGAAACCCCGACAAAGTTCACACCCTGTTGTTTTTAATCTTCAAGAATACAGCTGCTATTTCAGTAGGAAAATTGTAAAGGCGACAGTCGCCCCAGCAACTTCAAAATCTGCGTGATTTTTGCTTGTGGTTGACTATGTAGTTCTTGGCAGGACTTCAAGTCAAAATAAAAATACCCGAGAGCTTGTCATAACATGTCGTCAGCTCCCACTTATAAAAACTTATGGCATTAAAAATGTTTTAAATTCAAGTACCCGCTGAGTTCCATAAAAAGAGGAAATTTCAATGAGCTATTAGACAAATAATTTTGCGTTTTCAATGCAGTAAATAAATCAGCCGTCTGACGGATGCGAATAGTTCGTTTGTTTCACTTAATTGAGCTGTTGTAACTGTTCTCCTCGTCAAACAGAAATGATTTTGCAATTGGGGTTTTCGAGCGATATTCACACGGTAGAAATCAATGGAAAGGCAAGCTTTACTTGTGTTTTCTTACAAGGTAAATAATTTATCGTATCAGGTGCGGGATGGAAAAGACAGGATCAAATCCTGTTTATGTAAATAATCCTATTTTTTATTCTCACTCAAATGGAAACAGTTGTAAGTCACATAAATGAAACTTCTTAAATTTATGATGAAAACAAAAGTCAAAATGGCAGATTGTATACGTGAATGTAACTGTTTATAGATTTGTTCAAACATAATATAAATTTCAAACAAATATAATTTTCCGGTGTTTACTTAAGAAATGATATCGAAGAAAAATCATCTTTTGTTTTTATCAGTTTCTATGAACATTGCCCTGCAGACTAAAGGGAAACAATTACAAGTTTAATATCGAGATACTTGGGCTAATTTTTTCGCTCAGTAAACTTGTATTGGAAAACGAGCCTCTATGAAAGCACAACCCAAGGTTATCAGGGCCAGCACAGAATTTTCTCCAGTCGAGGGGCTTAAGCGCGACTGAGAAAGCGATACCCAAGATCCGATGCTCCCCGTAGAAAACATTTTGATCTGAATTCCACCAGGGGACAAGTACGACATTATTTATAACCTTGGGTGGGTGGGTGGGTTTGTGTGTGGGGGTGGGGGTGGGGGAGGATTTTTGAACTTCAGGGTGGATCACAAGATTTTCAGGGTGAACGGAGGGGAATCAGTCGACGTTGACAGAGTACATAGGAGGGGTGAGACTATAGAAAATTAACTGCCAAATAACAGCCAATGAGGGGGGATCAGGTAAATTTTATCATAAAATAGCCAAAAATCTCCGACCCCCCCCCCCCCCCCCCCCCCTCTCCTTTGGCGACAAATAATTACCAGTCCCAAACTTCCTCTAAATTGACAGGAAATAGATTTTGAAATAGCAAACGAAATCTTAAAAGGTGAACGTTCCATATTACATTTAACTACCCTTCGTCAGTCCAAAAATTTAAAATTTCTGATCACTCCCAGGAAATCTCCTTCACTGACAGCGCTACTGCTATTTATTGTTTGATACATCAAGACTCCAACGATTTTCGCCTGAATTGCAGTCAACGTAAAGGTGTATAAACGATGTATCAACACGAATGGAAATAATAATTTACAAAGTTATTTATAAAGTTTATCCCACTTGCAAAATAACTGAAGCCAGAGGTTGAGAAATATAATGCCAAAATATCTCAGATTTCTGCGACCTGAAAAATTGTCGGCAATGTCAAGAAAGAAAAGGTCTATGCTATAAAAGGAGGACTAGAACTCGTGGAGAAGGGGAGAAAAAAAATCCGCACCTTGCTCTTTTTGACAATATATTTCGCCTTCTACAACTGTGACAAGCAACTTCAGTTAATACTGATGTTTAACGAGCTCAAGATTTCTATTGTGTAGGGCTGACGAAGGCGAAGACAGAAGCAACTATTACGTATACAAATCGAGAGCAAATGATCTGATTCTTTGCTTTAAATCTGCTAGTCTTTCAAAACTTATAAATACGACAGGCTCATATCTTTTTTCATTTTGTTTACAACCGCACGCTGTTTTGCTTCTTACCAGTACTCCCCCGTCAATCATAGAATAGATAACAAGTATAGTTTAGCCAATCAGGTTGCAGCATTTATGATATCTACTGTAGTTTACTTTAGTATCAAATATCTGTTTTCAAAATTTTCTAAAAATGTGCTCCTTTTGTCTATTATCATCATCACCATTTCCCAAAAAAGCTTCTACAAGAATCATTAAAAAATCACTTTCAAAATCATTTTAAGA